TGACAACTGCCAAAAAAGAGACTATCTCAAGTATACCAACCCCCCAGAGTCCCAAGCAACTGCGGGAATTCCTGGGGACCGCAGGTTTCTGTAGACTCTGGATTCCTGGGTTTGCTGAGATAGCAGCCCCCTTGTATCTACTAACTAAGCAAGGTAACTCCTTTGCTTGGACTAAGAAACATCAATTGACATTTGATAACATCAAATTGGCTCTTCTGTCAGCCCCTGCTTTGGGCTTACCGGACATTACCAAGCCCTTTGATCTGTTTATAGATAAAAAACGGGGATATGCAAAAGGGGTTTTAACCCAAAAACTAGGGCCCTGGAGGCAACCTATAGCCTACCTGTCAAAAAAATTAGATCCAGTGGCAGCAGGATGGCCACCATGCCTCCGGATGATTACAGCTATGGCTCTGCTGATTAAGGATGCCACTAAACTGACTTTGGGACAGCCATTAACCCTGTTAACCCCTCATGCCATTGAAACTGTGATTCGCCAGCCGCCTGATCGCTGGATGTCAAATGCCCGACTCACCCATTACCAGTCTTTGTTATTGGACACCGACCGAATTCAGTTTGGTCCCATGGTGACACTAAATCCAGCGACCCTCCTGCCGCTCCCAGGAAAAGCCGATCCTCACAACTGTCAGCAGATTCTTGCAGAGACACAGGGAACCCGGCCGGACCTCACCGACCAACCGATAAAAAATGTAGAGCTGGTCTGGTACACAGATGGAAACAGTTATCTGCTCAATGGAAAACGACGAACAGGAACAGCCGTCACCACCAAATCTGAGGTAATATGGGCAAGTACACTTCCGGGCGGAACATCAGCTCAGCGGGCAGAACTGATAGCGCTAACTCAAGCGTTAAAATTGACAGAAGAAAAAAAACTAAACGTGTACACTGACAGTAGATATGCCTTTGCTACTGCTCACATACACGGAAAAATTTACAGACGCCGGGGTCTACTAAGCTCAAAAAAAAAAAGATCAAAAATAAGGCTGAAATATTAGCCTTACTTAAAGCTTTATTCTTGCCTAAAAAGTTAAGTATCATGCATTGCCCCGGTCATCAAAAAGGTAATACTCCAGAGGCCAAAGGGAACAGATTAGCAGATAAAACGGCCAAGAAAGCAGCCCTAGGGCCACAGCTTTTAATAGTGACTCTATTGCCCCAACGAGCAGACCCACCACATGATGACCATAAAAAACACTGGGTCTATAAAAATAAAAATTTAGATGCCATACAAAAACTGGGGGCCACTTATAACCCCGAAAAAAATGTCTGAAAATATCAAGAAAAAACTATCATGCCCCTCAAAAATTCAAAACAATTAGTAAAGTCCCTACACAGACTAACACACCTTGGGGCTAAAAAGATAAAAAAACTCTTAGAGCGTGGGAAAGGTACTTTATATCTTCCAAACAGGGATCAACTTCTGCGCCAAAAAGCAGAAAACTGTCAAGCATGTGCCCAGGTAAATGCTGGTAAGATCAAAATTGAAACAGGGATCCGGATAAAAGGCCATAAGCCCGGAACCCATTGAAAAATAAACTTCACTAAAATTAAACCTGATATATATGGCTACAAATATCTTCTGGTTTTTGTTGACACTTTCTCTGGATGGACCGAGACATTCCCAACTCGGCATGAGACTGCTAAGGTGGTTGCAAAAAAATTACTGGAAAAAATCTTTCCCAGGTATAGAGTACCCGGGACCATTGGGTCAGATAACGGGCCTGCCTTTGTCTCCCAGGTAAGTCAGATGGTGGCCAATACATTAAAAATTAATTAAAAATTACATTGTACTTATAGACCCCAAAGTTCAGGACAGGTAAAAAAAATAAATAAAACCATCAAAAAAACTCTAACTAAATTAACGCTTAAAACTGACACTAGAGACTGGGTACAACTCCTACCTTTAGCTTTATACCGGGCCCGAAACACCCCAGGCCCACAGGGGCTAACCCCATTTGAAATTTTGTACAGTGCACCACCACCTGCTGTTAACTTTTATAAAACTAAAACTTATGCCTCCCTCACCCCATCTATGCAGACTCATTTGCGTGCCTTGCAGTTGGTCCAGAACGAGGTTTGAAAGCCTCTAGCCGCAGCATACAAGGAGGAACTCAAAACCCCCTCGCTGCCACATCCCTTCAAAGTCGGAGACACCATCTGGGTACGCAGACACCAGAGCAAGAACCTCGAACCGCGGTAAAAAGGACCTTACACCATCCTGCTGACCACTCCCACTGCAATCAAAGTGGACGGCATCACCGCTTGGATCCACGCTTCCCACGTAAAAGCTACACATCCGCAGGAGCCCACAGACGCCTCTCTGGATCCAAAATGAAAACTGCAACGCACCCAAAACCCACTAAAGATAAGACTTACACGTTGTTAATCACTCTTGCTCTCTACGCTACTCCCCTCGTCCTAGGTAGTAATCCCCATACCCCCATAAAGTTAACTTGACAGGTGTATTCCGAAACCGGAAAAATAATTTGGTCTATTACAGCAGCCCACATCCCTGGCACATGGTGGCCTATTTTGACCCCAGACTTTTGTCAACTAGCCGCTGAATCAGACTCTTGGGATATTCCCGGCAACTCACATGACCTCAATACTTATTGTTCTACCCCCATAACGAGATGCAGACTGGGTCAACATGACTTTTACGTTTGTCCCAAAGAAGAAAAAAACCGAACCCAAACACGTAGATGTAAAAATTATAAAACATACTTTTGCTCCTCCTGGGGCTATAAAACTACAGGGGACGCTCATTAAAAACCTTCTTCTGATAAGGAATTCATAACAATACTCAAAAACTTCACTCCCCATGGTACACGCCCCTCTGATTGCTATCCCCCCCCTACATCTTACTACCAAGGGGACAAATCATTGCCCTTACGGATACAGTTTACAGAAAAAAAAAAAAAACAGCTAGATCCCTGGCTCACTGGGAGAACATGGGGCCTTAGATAATTTATAAAAAAAAATAATCTCGGTGTAATTCTCAAAATCAAATTATCTCTAACCCCAATTTTGATGAACCCAATAGGACCTAATCCTGTTCTCGGGGACCAAAGAGCTCCCTCAGTTCCCAGACAATCAAAAAGTCCGCCCAAAGTACCTCCCAGTGAGCCACCCATGTCTCAAATTGTAACCATAGACTGTCAAACCTCTAGTTACTCCCCCGAACCCACACTCCCTGGAACCGAAAACCGATTGTTAGATTTGATTCAAGGAGCCTTTTATGCCCTCAATGCCACCAACCCAGACCACACCCAGAAATGTTGGCTCTGTCTCACCTTCAGCCCACCCTACTATAAAAAAATAACAATAATGTCTGACTGGAACAGTAACATAAACCCTGATCCTAAATATATGTCCCTGCCCGGCTATAAACTCACCATCACTGAAGTTTCAGGACAAGGGATCTGTATAAAAAATATACCCCTGTCACATCAACCTCTCTGTAACACCACCCTCCTGACAAATGGCTCACAAAATAACTATTTGTGGGGTCCCCCCGGAACTTATTGGGCCTGCAACATTGGACTGACCCCCTGTATTTCCACGGCAATCCTCAATGCCTCCACTGATTTTTGTATGTTAGTCCGAATCTACCCACGACTATTCTATTATTCCTCAGAAAAATTTAAAGGACATTTCATGGGCAGGATTCGATACACCCGAGAGCCTATCAGCCTTACCCTGGCAGTCTTGTTAGGAACAGGAGTATTGACAAAAATTGGGACTGGGGCTGCAGCTCTGGTTGAGGGCCCCCGACAGCTAGGGATTCTAAAAGCTGCAATCCAACAAGACCTAAGAGCAATAAAAACCTCTGTAACCACTTTAAAAAAATCCCTAACCTCCTTATCAAAAGTTGTCTTACAGAATAGACGAGGTCTGGACCTATTATTCTTAAAGGAAAAAAGACTTTGTACAGCCTTAAAAAAAAACTGTTACTTTTACACCGATCACACAGGGGTAATAAGGGAGTCTATGACAAAGCTTAGAAAAAGACTAGATACAAAAAAAAGGTCTCTGCAAAGCTCCCAAAGTTAGTTTAAAAACTGGTTTAATAACTCCCCTTGGTTAACTACTATATTATCTACTATAGCCGGTCCCTTAATTGTATTGCTGCTGATCTTAACATTTGGGCCCTGCATATTTAACAAATTAATGCAATTTATAAAAAAAAAATTGTCTGTAATTCAAACTATGGTACTCGCGCAGCAATATCAAGTACTCCCACAGCACCCTGAACCATCAGCTGAGCAAATACCGGACTCTGAGCAGGTAGATCAATGGATATAAAATTATATCCCGGATAAAGAAAAAGGGGAATATAAACAAAAAGGGGGGAATATAAAACCTCAAGACCCAGGCCCAGCATTAGATGACCAAACCCCTAGGCCTCAAAGCTGCAAGACACATCCTCACCCAACCCCCATGTCAAAACCCCTCCAGCAGCATGTAGCACCTCAGGTGTTGCACAATGTTACCACAAGATGTTCCATGTAGATAACCCTAACGGGCCCCCTATCACAAGATGTTCCTTTTAGACAGTCCTACCGGTTAAACTTGAGAACTAGGTTTAAAAACAGGAACTGAAAGGACAGAATGCAATTTTATGGTTTTTCTGAGAACAAAAAGTTGAAAAACAAGTTTACCCCCCTAGGTGACTCAACTGCTAAATTCAGAGGGACCAATAGGAAGGCTGTTGCTGTGCTAAGCTAAGACCTAACCCACCTGTTCCCTATAAAAGATCTATACCCCAAAGCCCGGTGTGCCAGCTCATCAAAGCTCCGGCTGAGGTTTTGCTGTACACCCGCAGGCGCCTGTGTGAGAATAAACGCCTCCTGCTTTTTGCAGCCAGTGTCTCGTGTGGTTCATTCCGGGTTTGGGATCTGTGGATATTTCAAATGGATTATTTATTTCTCATAGTTCTGGAGGCTGGAAGACTAAGGTCAAGGTACCAGCAGATTTACCTGGGGTAAGAGCTCTCTTTCTGGTTCCAAGACAGCTGCCTTCTCATTGGGCTCACGTGGGTTTCCTTGATGCCTGTGCACAGAGAGAGGGTAATCACTGTTCTATTATTAGCAATATTCTATTAATAGCACTTTTCTATTAATAGCACTAATTCTACCATGAGGATCCCACCCTCCTGACCTAATCTAAACCTAATTATCTCCCCAGGGCCCCAGCTCCAAACATTATCACCTTGGGGGTTAGACTTTCAACATATACATGATTGGGTGGAGGGATATGCAAACATTCACCCCATAGCAGCCCTTCCTCCCCTCAAAAGACAAGCAGCCTTCAATGCTGTGCCCAGGAACACCTGCTAGTCATACCACCGTCCTCTGCAGTCCACACACACACACACACACACACACACACACACACCAGCTGTGGACTAGTTTGACTGCAGCCACCCATACAAGGCAACTTTATAGCTCTTCAAGTCCAGGTGCTAAAAAACTCCATCACCTAACACCCTTCATCACCCTTCTGGCTTCACAAAGCCTTGAATGTGGCCTGTCAACTGTGAGTCATCCTTCCATGTAACCTTCTGGAGGATGGAGGATGATTCCCTAGATCCCTCCTGGGAGGATGGGAGGGGAAATAGACTGGGGCTGGGCAGGAGGGTTGGCAGGTTGATCCTAGGTGTGTTTCATTTCCCTGCAGGGAGAAAGCAGCTCACTCAGCAGGCTGCACATCTGACACGTTCTGCTGTAAGTGGTCTCAATTGCCTTCAAGCTTAGAGCTGGGGAGGTCAAATGGAGGAAAAGGAAAAGACAAAAGGTGTGGGTTCCTTCATGTGCAAGCTTCTCAATAGGGGAGAAGTGATTCGGGGAGAGGGGGAAAGCAAGGTGAGAAAGGAGATGATGCAATATGTGTGTGCCTATTTCTGGCCATAATATGTGTCAAATAAGTTAACATTAAATCCATTTTTATGCTACCTTAATGAGTTTGGGTTACATTGTAATTTGGGGTATCCATGATGGCATAATTATCTCACTTTGTTTCTTATATACTATTTTTAGGTTTCAGAAGGCAAAATTATCAAGAATTTTTTTACCATTTTTTCAAATCACTATTGTAGAATCAATCAGATATGTGTTTTAATATACATTGATTACAATTCACCTTTAAGGTAAGTCTAAGAAGTTTACTGTGAATCATTTATATCAAACATAGGCTGGAGATATAGTTCCATAGTAAAGTACATGCTTAGCATTTATGAGGCCTTGGGTTCAATCCCCAACCCACAACAACAATGAAAAAGAAATTACTGAACATTTGAGTCATTTATTATCCCTCTTCATAAGAACACTATTAAAATAATATAATTTATCTAAACATCATTTCACAAGTGTTAGGAACAGTTAATTTAAAAGATTCTATTGTGTGCTATAAGAAAGGAACTAAAGAGATCGTTTTAGTAGTAAAAAAAAAATTATTCTTCTTGCGTGTTAAGAGTGGAAGAACAGTTATTTAATCAAAACAAATATGCTTTGCTTGCAGACTTTCCTTAAACCTTCAAAATCCAGCTAATAAGCATTCTATTGGTAGGTTGATTTCTATTCTTAAAGGAGGAAAATGCATTTCTCTTCTTATAATTTCCTTTCTTTCTAAAGAAGGATTTATATAATTTTATTGCACACATCAGTTGACATAATTTGAAAATAGCGTATTTCCAAGGTACAGATAATTTTCACATTCTGTTATCCATCCCAGGGCATTAAACTTGGGGAACAATTTCCTTCATTTAACAAAATTCACAAAGCCCTGAATAGAGAAACAGAAAATCAGAAATCAAACCCCTTGTACATATAGGTTTAGGATCAAGAGAGGTATATCCAATATTATAGCTATTATTTAAATTACTTTGGATATTTTGCCAAATGGGGGTGGGAAGGAAGACAATAAAAAATATAACTATATAACTATCAGAAGGTAAACAAGATTATCAGGTGATAGTCTACTTAAAACTTCAGTAAATCAATTGCCAAGCTATCAGAACTAATCAAAATGTTCACTAAAGTAGTTGTGAAATCAATGACCCAAATCATGAACTTTCCTATATAGGAGCAATGAGCCAGAACCATTTGGAAAAATATAAAACCTGCTCCAATAGCAATGGTATCTTTTTTATACATAAAGAATTGCTGGGAGCCATTAGCCAAGTAGGTATGACAATTTCCTTGCCAGCGTACCCCATGTTGCTTAGTGGAAGGACTCGTGGAAATAGGACATTTTGCAGTGACATTGCAGTTAGGTGACCTTGCTCAAGGACCAGGGCGGATCCGGGATTAGGGTGTTCCTGGTTTAGGATAATCGGGTTTAGGGCGTTCCAGGTTTAAGATTATTCCTGCTGGGAATAGGGCGTATCCTGCTGCCTGAGTTCCCCTTGAGTTCTCACGGGATTCAGACAGTATTTTTTGGGAGATAGAAGCCCAGTGGAGGTGGATTTGGGCAGAGAACGTGGATTTCCCCAGAACGTGATTGTAGACGGCTGGTGTGAGTTCGGGAATAAAGAGTTGCTGTTTGAATCTACAAGCTGTATGGTGGCTGGTGATTGTGTGCCCAGCCAGACTGCGGCATTTGTGCCCAGCCAGACTGCGGCAAAGAATGACCACTTGGAATAAATTTAACAAGAGACATGGAAGATACAGATTGAAGGGAAAAACTACAAAACTATCTTCCGAGATATAAAGGAAGATTTAAATCCATTACCAGGAAAGTCGAGAGATGTACAATTGAAGTCCACCCAGATTCACTGAGGTCCCATTCAAGACCAGAGCCAGTGATTATGCAAGGCCAAACCTAGAAAACTGGGTTTCCTTCAAGATCACTGGATGAGGGGAGGTCTCCATGCTAAAAGCCTCACCGGGTCCATGTTTTTGTGGTAAGAAGATGTCACACAAAATAATATAAACAAATGGAGCTGAACTATTTCCAAAGACTGACAAGCTTCCTGCGGCAAGCATATTACTTTTATACTGTAAGTAAAGGTAATGCTTACAGCTGTAAAGATAAACCCCATTGTCTCCTGAAATTTACTTGCTTACCTACAAATCCAATCTGCCTGAAAAAGCGAGAGAGGATAGGAACCAGACAAATTGGGTCCCTGTCATCCTCAATGCATGGCTTTTCTGGTTGCCCTGAACTTCAACTTCACACCAACAGGGAGAAAGATCTGAGACCAGGTCTGAATGAGATGCCCTTCACTTCTGCTCCTATTCCCCTAGATATACTCAGTCTTCATGATGTAACTGCAAGGGAGGCTGGGAAGTAGACCATACTGCTTCCCTTCCCCTTACTTAAATTTTATTGAATAAAGTATATTTATTGTAAGGAAAAAAGAAGCCACCCAATTATCTTCTTCATATTACTGGAGTCTGCCCTTTATTTTATTTTTTTAATTTTATACACTTGGAGAAAACTTTTCCAAAAATGCATAACAATTTTCCTGTTCCAGTAGAGTGGACAATAATGAATTTTTTCTATCCTCAGGTCCATCACTAAGAATATCAGCTCTCTTAACTGGGGCTACCTTCAGGAACTCTTGAAATTCTGGTTCTTTACTTCTATACTAAAAGTCTCTGAATTACTCTCTTTCTGTAAATTCTTTTGGTGGTTTTTTTGTTATTTGTTTTGTTGTTGTTGTTTTGGTTTGGTTTGGTTTTTTGGTTTTGCAGTGCTAGGGATTAAACCCTAGGCCTCACATGCATGAGGGGCAAGTGCTCTATCACTGAGCTACGTCCCCAGCCCTGTAAATGCTTTGAAATGGTTCATTCTGAATCCCTCTGCAAATTAAGAATGGCATCTGTCATTTCTTACTGCTGTTATCACTGCAGGCTCCTAGCAGTTCCTTTTCCCTCTGATATCCTCCTTCTATTAAGGGTTTTATACTAAGGTAAAAAAAAAAAAATAATGTATCTAAAGTTCAAGCAAAAAGTTAGCTCAGACTGAGGCCCACCCCTGAGTAAAGAAAATGAATTTTTATCAACTAGACTTTTAGTTGATTTTGGTAATCCAATAATATCCTTTTTAAATTTTTTCTTCCAAATTTTTACTGTTTTAAGCAGGTGCAAATAAACAATTGTGCTATTTTATTATAGAATCCTAGAAAAGAGAATAAAATTATGCTCAAAGAGAATGACTTTGTAAATAGTTCTGTGAAGAAAATTTTAAAATAAGAAAAAAAAAGCTAGAATATTGACTAATAAGGAGAGGAGTCTGCAATGTATTATTATGTAGAAAAAAGCAAGCTACAAGGTGGCTATAGATAACCCTTTTTCTGTTAAAAAAATGCACATTTGTATAAGTTTAGAAAAAAATCTGAAGAAATTGGGAGTAGTTATTTTATTTCTGAGACATAGGATTACTGATGATTTTTACTTATAATGTTATTTATTTATGTAATGTTTGCCTATTTTAGAAGTAGGTATTTTTTAACCATAAAAACAATAAGGATATTTTTAATAATTTTTTTACACAAATGGAGCACAACTTTTCATTTCTCTGATTGTACATGATGTAGAGTTACACCATTCATGCATTCATACCCATATATAGGGATAATAATGTCCATATTATTCTACCATCTTGCCCTACACACACTCCCCCTCCCCTCCTCTGTCTCCCCTCCAAAGTGCCTCTACACACTGTCTGCTGCCACAAATAAAAAGCCTCTCATAAATACTGAGGTTTTTAGTCAAAAAAATAAAAAAGCATTGAACTCAAAGTCACTCTCATAAACAGGGGAAGTTCCAGGAAAGGGTTGATGGCTTCCCCCAGAAGACTTTGCCTGGAAATCTGTTGGATATGATGTTAAATAGAGTTTTAAGAGTCTATCAAAGCCCTCACAGTTTATTATAATTAGAATCACAGTGTAACCTGTACTAGAATTATGATGAAAATGTATTTTGTTGGGAAGAATCCCAGCAACTACACTGTTATAAAGGTTTTCAAAATGTACTTCCTTTCCTAACAAAAATATTGGTAATTTAGTATGCAAAACCAAATGCACCTAATAGGCTTCTTTCTCTGGGTA